CTCCTTCAGCTCAAGGATATCTGCAATTTCAGGCAGAGGTACAATCTCATTATTTTCTCCAAGTCTTCATCATAAATATATCATTTCTATAAAAACTTCTTATCAACCAATTCTGCAGGCATTTATACAGATTTTACGATGCCTTTAGATTGATTCAAATTGAAGAAATTACAACTTTCTGATTCACAGGCAAAACTTCTTGCTAATGTTCACCATAAACACTTGACTGCTCTAATGGGATATTGTGATGATGGCACCAACGTTGCTCTCATCTATGAGTACATGGCTAATGGTGACCTGATTTATCAGGTATTCGCTATATGATCCCTCAAGTCCATCAAAATTTTACTTCTTACAAGAAAGTTAGTATTATGCATTCCAACAGCCCACATATAACTAAAAAGATATCTCAAGATGAAGTCTGAAAGTTGATTCAAAAATCTATTGTAGTTGTATACAACTGAGAATTTTTGTGAATCTTACATTAATGCAGAGAGAAATGTAAACATCTTGGACTGGAAACAACGGCTACAAATTGCAGTAGATGCTGCAGAAGGTTAGCAAAGAAAGAACTCATCTTTTTCCTTTATTTCCTTTCTTGATCCTTCCATTTATGCAGCAAAAGTAATTGGTTCACATTTAACTGTAGGCTTGGAGTATCTGCATAGTGGTTGTAAGCCACCAATTGTTCACAGAGATGTCAAATCCCAAGACATCTTACTGAATGAATATTTTCGGGGCAAAATTGCTGATTTTGGACTGTCAAAATTTTTTCCTGATGACAGTGATACGCATATATTTACTATGATAGCTGGCACCCCAGGATATCTTGACCCTGAGTAAGTTTTTACCAGCTCTAAACTACAAAGCTGAATTATGTTCAGTTCTCAAATATTGATGAGCGCACATTAAAAAAAAAAAAAAAGAACATAGGTTGAGTTGCAGGTGTTTTGTGTCATGCAGGTACAATATGTCGAACAAGTTGAATGAAAAAAGTGATGTTCACAGCTTTGGAATTGTTCTGCTTGAGATAATTACAGGACAACCTGCCATAGCCAAGGCTAAAGAGAAAACTCACATAACCCAGCGGGTTAATCTCATTCTTCCTGAAAGCAAGATTGATGATATTGTGGATTCAAGATTACAAGGAAACTTTGATATTGATTCTGCATCAAAAGCATTGGATATTGCAATGGCTTGTGTAGCACCTTCTTCCCTGGACAGGCCAACAATGAGTCACGTAGTGATGGAATTGAGACAATGTTTGGCTATGGAGATGGCTCGTTTAATTCGCAGTCAAATTGATTTCTCATTTGGTGAAATTAGTGGACAGAGCTCTCTAGCTAGATAGTTACAATTTTAGCAAAGTGCTAAATATATCGTGTTCTTTCTTCTTTTTAGCATGGCACGTTAAGAGAGAGTTTTTTATGGAGAGGAATTTCATTCCTAATTATGAACAGACATAAAATTGTCTCTCTAGAATGATATGCGTTGTTTGTAAATACGCACGTGTGTGTTTTATGTATATGCAGAGCATAGCACGTGCATATTTTATTTGTTTTCCCTTGGTATAAGGTTTCAGTTGTATTTTTTAATTTTATAAAATATCTTTTAAATTCTTTAACTCTAATGTCATTAATATCAAATGATATTTTTTTACACCAATCATTATTCTTTTAAAAAATTAAATTCAATATATTAACATTTAAGAATGTTTTGTCAATATTTAAAAGTTTAATGTCAACAATTTTTTTTATTAATAAAACCAATGATAGCAGAGTTATATAATTAAAAAATATGACTTAGAAAATTAAGAATTCAAAATGAAATTTTGGATAAAGTTTCAAAATTAAAAATGCACTTTTGCTCGATAAAAAAAAAAAGAAGTATTTGGTTGCCGGATTTTGCCTATAGAAGAAAAGCCCACCAGCAGGCCCAAGCCTAATTTCCATATTCAAACAAAATGAAGTTACTTACTTGCCTCATGTGATCCACCATGTCAGCAACTTCTCGCTTTGTAAGCATCAACTTATCTGACGTGGCATCGAAATCAGCACATGGTTAGCCTTCAGGTGTTAAGTGTAACAGAGGAACCAACGGATTAATGACAGAAACTTACAGAGTGTTATATTTTAAGAATATTATTTCAAGAACTATTTTCTAAATCTAAGTAAAATCGGGGACAAAAGATTAATCTTTTGGATAAAATAACACTCTCTTTGTTTAAAAATATAAGGTATTTTTAATTAAATTTCACCTTCTAATGAAGTAGTTACCTAATTTTTAACTAACTCTATTTTTTTATATTTACCTTTATTAAACATTTATAATAAATATAAAGTTATTATCAATAGGGGCACTTTAAAAAAAATAATGATTACACTTCAAAAGATTAAAAATGCTTTATATTTTTGAACATCCAACTCTTTAAAAAATATCTTAAATTTTTGAATGGAGGAGTACCATTTACTTGTGTGTATGTGTCAACAAAGTGCAAGAAAAATCGGCCGTGAGAATTCCTTATTGAAAACCACCAAAAAATAAAAAAGGATTGATAAATGAAGTCGAAGCCTAAAATTTCAATCAAATTTTCTCAAGAATTGAAAAACCCAAAAAAAAAAAGTTTACAATATACACGCGTCATATGCTACTGGATAATGAATTAAGTAGCTTATCTAATATATGAAGCCAACCTGGAGAACAAACTCCTATGACACAAGTATGTTAAGAATTTGATGAATTAAAGTCAAATATGTGGCAAGTTGCGAAACCATACAAGAAAAATAAAGCAAATGAGCTCAGCAAAAGATATTTAGAATACGCAAATTAGTTGTATGAATAAAAATAGATAGATATATCCATTTTTCTTGTTGCACAAAAATAGTATGAAATATTTGTTAGATAGCTTTGCCTTTCAACAAAATTTCTATTTTTAGAAACCCCTCAACTACCCCCCACCAAATATAGCTTGCTTAATTTTGATCCTATCAACGCCCCCACAGTTCTATCAAACAAAATATTTAATAAATAAATAAATAACATCCACACACCCCTTTTCAACCATAACTCCTTCACTTCAACCAACAATTTCTTTACAAACTAGACAAGTTTATAAATTTGAAAAATAATAATAGTTCAATATTATAAGATATGATTATATTCAACCTTTATTCATAAAGTAATCATATATATATATATATATACACACACATATATATTATATACCAATAATAGTAGCCAAGTAAAAGGGAATTGATTCCTCTCAATCAAGGTCAAGAATTCAAACATTGTTAAGAGGGGAAAAAAAATCATGTTGTGAGAGCCACATTTAATTGGGATGTAACCATACTTAAATTTGATTCAATATAGTACTCCCATAATCCCAGTTTAAAAGATAATTTTGGATATCCCAAAATATATATAAGACAATTTGATAAAAATAAAATTTTATTAAATATACTTTTTTAATAATACCCTTTCTTCTTTATTATATTATCTATCTTTCTCTTTAAGGTTTAGTTTAAATAAGTTGGATACCGAAAGTTCATCAGGGCTAAGGATGCTTCCAACCTCAAACTACACTTATAAAAGTACTTACAAATCACTCATCAACAAAATTTTCACATCAACAGTAGGATCTGATCTAATGATTTTATAGATTATGATGAGTTGAATTTTTACCAACTAAATCAACTGTTGTTGGTTCTTTAAGATTATTAAATAAAAAGTATTTTTGAAAATTTATATTTTTGTTTTGAAAAAATAATATTGTAACTAAAGTATATTTGATAAATTTTATTGGTATATATAACTTTGTGTGAAAGTATATTATCTTACAAATTGGGATAGAATGAGTACTGTATATGTATACATATACATATATATATATATATATCAAATAATTGTATAAGCAAGACAATCAAGTGTTGATTAAGTTATGCTACGTCACAAAATTTAGTCATACCACCATGATAATTGAACTGTATGACTTGACAAATTATTGATAACAAGGTTCTATATAACTTGATGATAAACCCATTATTACATTGTAAGCAACTAGATCATGATACCAAAAGGAACTATTGATTGGACAATTATTGGCCTCTTAAGTTCACCAAAAAAAAAGGTAGAATTAAAGAATTCTTAAGGATGGCAGAGAGGAAAAAGGAAGAATATTAAATATGCATAGTTTTTATTGTCTGAGATGGAAATCAAAACCGCATGCAGAAACAGTAACACATAGGCATGTCCCGTAGAGTGACTATGCAGTGAAGATAAATATTCGAGTCTGATTAAAATAATACAAGTTCTGTGACAATAGCACAAAATACCTTATCGTTGTAGCCGTCGTTATCATCATAGTCATCATCATTAACAATATCATTAGGTCCATTTTACAGTTTTGATGACTTTGTAATGTTTAAAAAAGACAGAGAGAGAGAGAGAGAGAGAGTGGTTTTGTTTTTTTTAATTATTGGACCTAGTGGTTATGACAAACACACAGGCCAAAAAGGAAGAATAATCGGAAAATACACGTGCTAAGCAATGAGTTTTTGGGGGTGGTTCTCAAGAGCACGCTTTGGGTTGAATCAAGGAGACAGGACCACAGACTGATCAGTCTCACGTTGTCTTAAGAGAATGTCTGTCTTGCATTGGTTAGCTAACATAAAAAAGCAAGCTAAATTCATTAAACAAAGATGAGGTTCAACAATATTAAGTGCTTATATCCGTTGCATTAAACTATTACTATAATTGAAAGTTACTATCACTTTCTAGAGTTCCCTTTATCTTAATCATAGGTGTTATAATTGCTTGGCCTTTTTGTATTCCAAAAGTTGATATATTTTTGAATCTCTTCCTTCCCTTCTTTCATCCTCACTTACAGTCTAATCATGTCCATTCAGCTTATAATAAGAAGACAATATACAGTTCGCGCACGATATTAGTTATGGTAATAGTGAAATTCTACGCAAGTCACTGAAGTTGTGGCAAGGGAAACTAACATCACATATCATTCATTGGAAATTTCTTGCAGATTTTGGCATAGAAAATGAAAGTGATCATCTGCTATTGTTACTAGCTACAACATTAAAAGCAGATAATCAATCATGACTTCGAAGTTCAACGTTGGATGTGGTAGCTAGGGTTAAACTGCATGGGAAAAGAAGGGTTAAAAGAGAAGGCAATATTAGTAGGAGGACAATTCATAGCCTCGACTTTGTTTCCTAGACTCTCTAATGCCTTCACTTGTGATCTTAGAAACTTGAGGTAATTTGCAGCTTCATCAAGCATTGAAGCAGTGTCCATCTTGCTTCCACCAGGAACCAATTTCTGCAAAACCCTGATTCTTTCACTTATTCTCTCCCTTCTCAGCCTTGCAGCCACAGTTTGAGGATCTGTTGATATCCTCACATTCTTCCTCTTTGGCTTCTCCACCACCTCCATTCCTAAATTCACAGGCCTGTATGCTGCAGCCCTATATATCATCTCTTTCATTTGTGCTATGGCATCTGGGTCTGGTTCTTCCATGGAAGATGATGATGAATGGGGCTGCTTGAAATTGATGTTTGAAGAAGTTGGAGGCTTGGAATCCCATCTGGGTCGTTTGGGTTTTGGTGGATTATTGTTGTTGTTCTCCTTAACGAGCCTGAATGAACTTGAACCACCTTCTTCAATGCTGAAGTAGGGATATTGATCTAAAGCATCATCAATGCTCCTTTTTGAACACTTGGCCTTGGTGGATTCTGCAATTTTTATTCCTTGATTTGCATAAAGATCTGAGGAACCTTGAGATAATGTTTCATGATCAGCGTTGGTAGTGCTCTCAGATTCACTTCCTCCATTGTTATGACTAAAGCTCCATAAGTTTGATCTTCTGCATTCAGATAAGATCATGGAGACTCCATCATCTTCTACAGATGCGTCTGTGTTGCTATTTGTAGCTGAGAACAAGCAATCCAGTGACTCAGCAGAGAAGGTACCATTTTGTGAGCCATTATTGACAAGTTGTGGATGTTGGTGGGCCATGTTGAATTCTGAAGGATCAAAATTACCAAATGGGTTATTCATTCTGTAAGATCCACCAACCCAGCTGGACCCACCTACTAGCTGTGATAGACTTGTCTTTGAACTGGTTCTAGCTGCTAATTCTGCTTCTGCTTCTGATAATTGAGCCATCTCTTTGATCACTTCTTTTTCAGAATTTGGATACGGGTGATGATGATGACCTGTTTGAGCCTGCTTCTGCATCTCTTGCATTGAATTATTAGGAAAGCTTGGATTCAAGCTTGCTTCAAGCTCTTGCTGCTCTAAATTGCTCCACAATATAGGTAAGTTCTCCGCAGCGTGTAAGGCATCCCAACTCAGACCATCCATTGATGAGTGCTCTATAAAACTTCTGATATAAATTTCGAGACTTCAGAGATCTAGCTAGTTGAAAGTTCATTATGTGTCTGTGCATGAGTGTCTATATATTATATATAGAAACAGGCCCCATTTAGGTGTCAACTACATAAGAGAAATTATAATGATTAAGCGTTGACGGACTTACCAGTTCCAGATCCAGCTGCTGTCAACACCAGAATATGAATCCAAGAGCGAGCCAATTCAGGAAACTCGGTTTGAGTCTTCAATGCGAGAAACAGAGCAGAAGATATTGATACCCAACTCTTTGATACATATGAGTTTTTTTTGGTTCAGAATTTGTTGAAATCTGTAATGAAAAAAGAAAAACAACCAAAGCTTATGTCAGATTTGATAATTGAACTTTGAGTACTGGGCTATGGAGCGTCTGTTTGTTGTTTTTTTTTTTTTTTGGGGGGGGGGGGAGGGTCTATATCTATTTATCTGTGTGTGTGTGTGTGTGTGTAGAGAGGATGGGAGGGAGGAGTTTAACATTGACAAGATACACCAAAGAAGCAGAAGAAAGAGTATAAAAAGGAAAGAAGAAAGGATGTACCTTCATGAGTTGCCATGGAAGACCAGTAGAAGAAATGATGTTAGTTTGTTGAAGAGAAGCTTAAATAAATAGGAAGAACAAATGGTGTAAGCTTTCTATATAATAAGAAAAATATTGGTACTTGGACAAGATGCGTCAGGACACTATAATAATAAAGAAGCACTAATAAAATATTGTAGTTTTGAAAAAAGATAAGGCTTTTTGGGTCAGATGGGTAGGTTATGTGAGACTATATTTTGCAGATGGGGAGCATATGAATGAATGAATGAATGAGATTGAGGAATTTTTGAATCTCAAACTGATTAATTAATTGATTATTTTATGAGTTTATATCTCTCTCTCTTTATGTTATTTTTAATTATTTGTATTCTTTTTAAGGAGGTAAAGGCTCTGACCTCCTTTTGGTTGGCTCTGTATATTCCAAGTTCTCATGCGCACTACGAAGTAGCAGTGAAAATTGCAGGGAAAGTGAGAGCATCTTCTAAATAGTAATATGACTTGTCCTTCCAAAAGATTTCTGTTTTTAATCATAGTTTTAATCATAGCCTGTGATGTTTTCACTTTCTGCTACATTCTTGTTAACTTGTGACACACTCACATATATAAATATAACATAATGGAACCATCTTTCCACCACTCAATCAGAACACTGAAACTGAAAGTTAAAACTTTTGTGGAATTTTTAAGAGGAATCTACTGATGAAATCAGAAGCACGGTACAGAAGAGAAGATTCAAACTTTCTCAACCTAACATAATTTGCTTCACATTTTGCAGGATTCCTTTCTAAGCACATCTATGTAAACCCCAAGTTGATCACCTTCACTTTGATCTTGCTCTAAAGTATGTCAACATTCGCTAGTATCACTATTTGACATCTCTATCTATTATTACTAACTAGTTTAGCTTCAAGTACTACCAAGTTTGTATTTTTTTTTATGATATTTAAAAATAGTTTTTTTTATATGATTACCTGAATGGGTCATATCCAAGCATTGTTTAACTTAGTTGGGTGTAACTCTCTCAAGAACATTTTTTGTGTTCACAGATACTCAAACACGAGACTTACTACTTAAGTGGCCATTCTTATTAGAATGTCTAGGTGTAGGTGGGTTGTAACTAATGTGAGAAATCTCATATCAAATAAGGTTAAATTTAATAAATAATATAAAATAAAAGAAAATAATTTATAAAATCAAGTTCTAAAGTTTTGAGTTAAGATGTAATATTCTTCTGTTGATCAATCATCATCTATTTATTTTCTCTCCCATTTTTAGATGGCTGCTTCTTCTTAACACTTTTAATATGACGGTTAGTTAAACATATTTTTTGTTAACTGTAAGCCTCAAACTTTTGATCTTATTTTTAAGAATATGAATCGGAGTTTGTTTGACCCGTTAAAAGAAATTAAAAAAATAAAAACAAGCCAGACATTCAATTTTGGTTGCAGAGTGCATTCTCAAATGAGCTCAGATGAGGCTTATCTTTAGCTAAAGCCACATGCTTCCCATGATTACAGCTCAATATGAATGGGTTCCCATGGGATTTGCTTAACACATCTCTTCCCTTATTGTCAATTTTTCTCGATTCCTATTTACTTATTTATTTAAAACAAGAAGTGTCTATGATTTTGCTTTCAAGTCCATGTCCAAAATTTTGACCTCATATGGTAGTTAGACAACATGGATGGATTTGGTCTCTTTAATTTTGTCGTGAAGTTCTACAAAATTAACAGTTTAAAGAGCACAATGTTATTGACAAATATATATAGATATATACGAGAATATATAATTGCAATTTATCCTTCACGGCATAAAATATCGGTTTGATCATTGATGCATCTTTTAAATTTTAAAAAAGAAATCAAAAGGGAGATGAATTTCGTTTAACATTTTTTTAAAAAATAAAAGGAATAAATAATTCTAGTAATGAAGGAGTAAAATATTTTTTTATTAGTCAAGTCAAAAAAATCATTTGGAAAGTTGGGCCAAATTGAGTTGTTTTGGATCGACAGTCGAATCAGGAATTAGGATCAAGTCGGAAACTAAATTATGTTTTGAAAATCCAGACTATTAAAAAAAATGCTCTTTTTCTTTTTTAAATTTATTTTTAATTTTTTTAAAAATAATTAATGTTTTTATCATTTAATGTTATGTTGTATCATGTGGTTTGTTAAGTCATGATAAACTTAAAATATTTAATTTTATTTTTAAATTAAGTAACTATTTCATATTTATTTCTTATATTTAGATTATTATATGTATAATTTTTTAATTTAATTATTATATCACCGAGTAGACTATTGGTCCAACCCAATTAGACTATGTAAATTGTAAACTGCTGACCTTTTTAGTTCAATATCCAAGCTAGTTTTAAAAATATTAGTCCAAACTAATCCAAACTTTTTATATGTAGGATTGTTATTATCAATGGTGACTTTATGAATATCTCAAAAATACCTTTGATGTTTGTATTTAATATGATAGAAAATCTCAAAGCTAAAATTCAAAACTTTCAAAGGAGAAAAACATTAGGGATTAATGGTTTGGCCATGAGGAAATGTGTTAATGTGAATGAGGAAAGGCTCCATAGAAATGGTTTGGGCGGTGGCCCGTCTTGGAGTCTTGAAATAAAGGAACTAATGAGCACCGTGCTCATAACCCCTGTGGCATGATTTAAACCTTTCATTTTTTTTTTAAATAATCACCTATCAAAATAGAAATTATAAAAAATTATAATATCAAATATGAATTATCTAGAATGTACCTAAATGATCAATTAATTAAAATTATAAAATTTTTAATATTTAAATTGAACCTTTTAAATTATATATATATTATTCAAAATACATTTGAATACTCAATTTGTAAAATTATTAAAAATAATATTAAATTGAGTCATTTAAATTAAATATGTACTGATCAAATAGATTATAAATAGATTTATTAAATATTTTTATATTTTTTTATATTTTTTTATTTTAATAAATATAAAATAAAAGTAAAAAAAATAAAAGCTTAAAAATTTAAACTATTCAAATCTTATTAAAGGTGATGAATACCATAATAATTATTCTCTAATAAGCAAAAGAAAAATAGTACTTATTTAATATTATACTTTTTATGTATTTTTATTTTAATAAATATAATATAAAAGTATTTAAAAAATAATTTTAAATTAACGATGGAAATCATTTGAAAAGAAGTGATGAGCACCAATGCGACAATAAATGAAAAGAATGTCAAATTCTAGAAAGAGAGGAGAGATGTCAAAATCTCAATTAATGAATGTCCTTTTTGAGTTCTGAATCACGTCCCGCGTTATTTCGGAGTCCATTCTTCGGCCAAGCTGGACATGAGCTGTCGGCTTACACCACGCCATCTCCCTTTCTCTCCGCTCTCAAATGCAATCCTACTTTCAAGGGATCTATGATCTGAACGAAGCATTTACTTGAGGAGATTCAATATGTTCTGAATTTTCTCTTTAGGATTTTGATAAACAAATTCAAAATTAAGTTTGCATGAAAAACAGCAACATTACACTTGCTTATTAAAAAGGTCTACTCTTCTATTATCAGCCCAAACTCAAGTAAGTAATGAAGTCAGACGAATTGTAGTTCATATTTTAATAAGTACAATATTGATCATTTATATATAGTTTTTATTTTCACAAGTTATATGGTTTTGAAGCTTTGGTGAGAAGTTGTACTTTAAATTTTGACAAGTTATTTAAATAATTCAAATTTTGACATGTTATTTTCTATTTAGTTTTTAAATATTATTAATTACTTGTTTTTAAAATATTGGCAAGTTTTAATTTTTATTTTTGCAAGTCATCTAGGTTTGAAGCTCTGGTAATAGTTTTAGTATGAATTTTGATAAAGAGAAAGTTCATGTTTTGACAAGTTATTTTTTTCAATATTGAGAAGTTATATCTTGAATTTTGACAACTTCTAAAACTCCTTTTTATATATTGACTACTTATTATAGTCCAAAAAAAAAATATTGACTACATATTTCTAAGATCTTAACAAGTTATATTTTTAGATTTTGACAAATTTTTATCTAACTTTGGATCTCTGATAACAAGTTATAGTTTAGATTTTGACAAATTATTCTTTAACTGTTAAAAGATTTAGTTCAAAGCTTAATTACTAGAGAATCTCCCTCAAGTAATTTAAGCATAAAAGTTTTTAGAAGAGAATGATGGTTACTCTTGATGATACCACCACAACTCGTATTACAATTCAAATGAGAATAAGCTTCATCAACATACACATTAACCCAACCCTCATGTAATAATAGAGGGGCTCATGCCTCCTCAAAATGACACCCCAAATATTCAATCTCCATCAAAATTCTATCATTCCTTCTCTTCCAAAATAGGCCAACATATGACAACAAATTACAACTCCTTCCAATTACCTTCAACCTGGCTCACGGTTGCAGTAACATTCAAGTAACATCACTCCCAAAGATTACAATTGAAAAATCTTGGGGTCAGACTCAGTTTGATGATAGACATTGAATTCTACACAACTTTTATTTCCTTGCAATCATGAAAAACAAGGATAGTATCTTCAACTTCGTGATAGCACCATATACAAGAGACCGAAGCACTGATGCCTCAATTTTTTCTGGCCTAATTTGTTAGGAGCTTATCATCCTTTACTACTAATAGCATTACTTAATATTATCATTATATTAAATAATGACAATCTCCATTTTTCTTATACCATTATTTAATATTTAATATTATCAACGAATTTAATCTCAGATATTATCAAGTTAAAATGAATAGTTCTTCTAATATAATTTTTTATTTGCAAAATCTGAACACACTTTTGCTTAAAGAGTACTCCCTCCGTTTAAAAATGTAAGGCATTTTTAATTAAATCTTACCCCCTAATAAAGTAGTTACCTATTTTTAAATTAACTCTATCTTTTCATATTCACTCCTATTAAACACCCTATAATAAATATAAGGTCATTATCAATATGGTCATTTTTGAAAAAAAAAAGTAATGATTACACCTTAAAAGACTAAAAATGTCTTATATTTTTAA